GAACATGTTAGAACAAAAATTTTAGATGAGTATTACTGGACATAAGTTTCTGTTACCAATCACAAATTGAATTAGAATTGGTGTCAGGTCAATTCGAATCCACAACAAGAGTAAAGAGAATCTCAGTCTGAAACCAATTCACTTTGCAGCAAACTTGTTGAATCCATTGTCAAGAGAAACCACGATATCTGAACAGCAGATATTTATAGCTATGGATTATATTCACAATTTATCTATTGAAACTCAAGGAGCTGCACACGGTGAATTGATTGCTACAGAATCAGGAGATTTTATGACTTGAAGGGATATTTTATTGTTAGAGCTGCTAAATCAGCTAAGCCTCTAACTTTTTGGAAAGCTTTTGTAAAGTAAACTCATTTTAACACAGAAAGATTTCTGAAGCTGAATTACATTAGATGTAGATGTTACTACAAAAAGACACAAATAAATTGGATAATACTATGGTACATCCGCCCTCAAATCAACTAAAAGAAACAAAAAAGAACAAATACAAACAAGAGAAAGAAAACTGACAAAAATTTTTAAAGTCATACTCAGACTCTGAAAGTATTGAAAACTCTCTTCGGAGCTGTTAGAATTGGGTAGCAATGATATCACAAGTAGTGCTGATGAGTTTGAAGCAAATAATAGCAATAATAGGACCTACCTATTACTGCCGAAAGTAGCTTAGTGGTAACCATTGATATGGATAATGACTTACTAAGTGATTCAGTGTCAAAATCTCAAGTATTTGAAGTTGTTAACTTTCACCCAGAATGTCATTCATCAGATGTAACTACTGCAATTCTAGTAAGGAGGGGACTACCCAGACTGAACCTATGAAGAGAACACAATGAAAGTTGGCTCTAAGGGCGACATGTGCATATAGAACTATCTCTACTAAGGCAGCCCTTGTAATAGCAGGGATGAGTCCCATTGAGCTACTGATAGAGAAGAGGAGATATATTTTCTCCATGGCGGGGGAAGATAACAATATGGTCCTGGAAGAAGCAAGGCGAATAACCCTCAGGAAAGATGGAATACGGAAAGGATGGGAAGTTGGACGCACAGAATTGTAAGAGGCATTGGAGAGTGGTATAAGAGGAAGCATGGGGTGATGAATTATTCCTAGCATCACCCAGTTCCTGGCAGTACATGTCAGTTTGGGCAGTTATTTGCATAAAAAAAAAGAGAAATAGTGATGTCTGTCAATATTGTTAAGACACCAATACTCCAGAACATGTGGCATTTTTATGCCCCAGATTGGAAGACCAGCGTCGAAGGAAGAACACACAGCTTGCCCGGGAGATAAAGAAGAATGCGTGCATCCTGCGGGATGAAGATACGTAGAAGGTTGTGATGGGTACATTAAGAGATATTATGACTGTAAAGGTAGGATCATACAACCAGGAGTGTAGACAAAGACAGCTTTGCTCCCGATGGAACGACCATGACGGATTCCGGGAGACAGAGCGGGGAAATGAAGGAGGGGTTTTTGTGGGTGTAGCGCCCCACACTACCGAGTTAGAACATAAGGTTCCGGTGCCATGCGGTTTCCCTTACTACCAAAAAAAAACCCAGACTGAAACACTGATGAGGATACGAGCAAACCTGACCTCAAAAGTTGATTTGAACAGATGACAGAAGTAATGAGAGAATTACGCTCAATAGTCTTAAAGGAGTCAAGTTTTAAAATGGAAAAAGGGAAGAAATATTTTCATATCCAGAATAGAAGTAGCAACACTGGATCAGATGGAAGTAAAACAGTAGACGTTCTTTGAGAGATTTGTTTTTCTGCTTTTATCAAATATTTTATTTTGGTTGTCAAAGTTATAAATAAAATTTGGATAAAAAACTTTGCCTTTGTGGTACAAATAGTAATTAAAATATTTAAATTTAATTTATAGTTCAATTATATATGACTTTTATGGAAGTTCAAGGAATTTCTAGAAATGCATAAAAAATTTCATTTCAGAAATTTATCAAGATCTGAAAAATTTCAATGAAATATTTCAATTTCATGTTTTATGAAATTTAAGGTTTTAAGAAAAAAATACTAATTGTATCATTGCGGTCAAAATATTCCATGGCTAAATCGATGTTGCTTCTTGACAAAAATATAAATACAGTCGAAGCTCCTTATTCGCGGTTCCCGTATTCGCGAATCCAAAACTAACGATACATATTGTATTTTTAGAACAATGCGTATTTGTTTGTCAAAATAAACAAGTAGGTATCAAAATATTTATAAACAAACAGATCTTAGTGTCATACAGCCGAAAGTCCATTGACAAAAGCTGCCACTGATTCTGCTCGCTTACACGTGCGATTATGGCCGCCTGCCCCACGATTGGTGCCGAATCTTTTGTTTCGTTGCTTCAATTTTTCATCGTCGCAATAACTTTATTGGAATAATACTTGTCTCTTCAGCTTTGTTTGGAATTTATAATGTCGAATAAAGGTTAATTTAAAAAGAAAATTAGTTCCTGCGAGGAAAAAACCCGTGTGCAAATTCAAACGTTAACTGCAAACATTGTGCAAATTACGAATGAAATAGGACGGGATGGCATTGAACAGAGAGAATCAAGTGATATTCAGGAGTTGCTTGAATTGCACGATGAAGATATGACTGAAACCGACTTGGAGGAAATGTTAAATCCCCATTCCGTTTGAAGAGGAAGCTTCAACGAGCGCTGAAATTGTGACACTAAAAAAAGCCTGATGGTTTACGGATGCTGAATGAGCTATGAAAGAAGTCTTGTTTTTCAGAGGAAAATGATAATGCCACAGTTGAATATCAATCTGAAAAATTAAAATGTCTTTTATTAGCTGCAAAACAAGAAAAAAATCACCAAGTTCTTTAAACCATTGCTTAAACCTGATAATAATTAATATTGTTAAAATTTATCTCAAAAATTACATTTATGAAGATATTCTTTTATTATTTTGCAACATTGAAACGTATCCCCTATACAGACCAAGAAATAAATGTGAAAAATTATCGAGAAATCGTGAAAATTACTGGGCGTGATTTTGTTGTTGGAAAGTGTTGGGAATGATAATACAAGAGGTGTCTCATCTCGCGGGTCATGAAAAAAGTATAGCGTCATTGTTTTTTATCAGCTCAAAAATTCGTCATTTTTTGTTCTACGCATTATTGTAAAAAAACTATTAATCTTGGCAAAAAATGTTCAACAGACGATTTGATCTAGATAAACTCATCTTTAAAATGAGACTTTATAAGTTAAAATTGCTCTATAAACAAAAAATTGATTGCAAAATTAAACAGAAAAAGTGCTTTTTCTTTCATTGTTAATAACTTTCTAAATAATTAATAAAATCTTACCAAACTTTTCCAAAATGTAATTTTTTATATCCTTAAGAGATGTGTAAAAGATGGGCTCGATCGGTTAAATTGTTTTTTAGAAAATTCCATTTATTTATCCCATTTTTGCAAAAATGACTATTCGGGAGGCAGGGTTATGACTAAAACATTCTTTTTGGGCTCATTTTCTTCGAATGGACACCAAGTATCCTCTAATTAAACAAAATTAATTTTTTTCCAAAATTAGTTGTATATATTTGTTAACAAATAAAAGGCACTTTTTTTCCCTAATAAACAAATAAAATAACTCCGCGGTTTTTAACTTTTGAAAGAAGTTATATACTCCATTCGAAAACTCGTAAAAAAACCTACAAATTGAAAAAAAAAAGTTTCTATGATCAATAGGTCCGGAGTTAGCGATTTTTTTACGACTACATTTGAAAAAAAATGTATTTTTTCTCGAAGAAAATGAGCCCAAAAAAAATGTTTTAGTCATAACCCTGCCCCCGAAATAGTCATTCAAAAACGGGATAAATAAATGGAATTTTGCAAAAACTATTTGACCGATCGAGCTCATCTTTTGCATATCTCTTAAGGATATAAAAACTCACATTTTGGGAAAGGTTGGTAAGATTTTATTAATTATTTAAAACGTTATTAACAATTAAAGAAAAAGCACTTTTTCCGTTTAATTTTGCAATAAATTTTTTGTTTATAAAGCGATTTTAACTTATAGTCTCATTTTAAAGATGAGTTTCTCTAGATCAAATCGTCTGTTGAACATTTTTTGCCAAGATTAATAGTTTTTTTTTCAATAACGAATAATGAATTTTTAAATAAAAAATAAATTAAATATGTTAAAATAAAATAAAATTAAAAAAATTAATAAATTTCAAAATGTTTCCTTTCCTGGTCTAATATTTCCATACAAAATGCCACTCTGTATTCGTGGATGTCGTATTCACGGTAGTTTTTCTGAACGTATCCCCCGCGAATAAAGAGCCTTGACAGTTTATTTTCCAAAATTTATAACATTTTTGAAAAATAGTTGGATATCAACTACTAAGTTGAAACTACTAAATTTTCAAAAGAGAAGAAGTAAATCCTTTTAATATTAATTTATTAATTGCACAAGTATTTTTCAAGGGCTGTCTGTGTTTTAATATATTCTGTCAGTAAAAAATAAGTCTGGTAAATTGCCCAACAACCGTTTATCGGCTCTGAAATTGTAATAATGCATTTTGCCGTTACTGATTTTTAAGAAGACTCTATAGCAAATAGGCAACCAGCAATACATTTTTATAGATTTTATTATACAGTTTGTCTAAATATGAAAAAATGCACAAATAACAGACTTTCCTACATTCTAGTGCAGATTTTCTTTAAAACGAACTTAGTTTCAAATTCAAATTACTATTTGTTGTAAAGAAATTTGTAATTTGCCGATTTTGAACAAGGAAATTATAAATTTCTTTACACCAAAACGTAATTTGAGTTTCGAACCAAGTCCATTTTATAGAAAATCTGCGTTAAAATGGGGGAAAGTCTGTTATTTGTGCATTAATTAATATTTAGACAAACCATGCAATAAAATCTATGAAAATGTATTGCTGGTTGCTTATTTGCTACAGAGTCCTTTTAAATAACCATCACTTCAGCCATCACTAAAAAAATATTACAAAATATCGACAAAAAAAAAGTAATGTTAAGAAATTAATATTGAATTTTTGAAAAAATTTCATAACAAATACCATTACGTTCAAAAGTATTCTGTATTTTTTACTTACAGTTTCCGAACACTCTGTATATAGTTTCAACAATAACCTTACCAGATAAGGAACTCAGTTGTCTCTGCAGTCAGTCAAAGAAATGCTTAACGCTATTGCGTCAGTCCCAATCCGCCCAAGCCGCAGGATTCTTAATAATACACCGCGTGGAACTTGATTTTGTTACACCATTCGTAGGCGTTCCTGAACATCTTCTCCCAGGGGCTGTTCTGATAGTGCACCCAGTCCCTAGGCATATAGGGCCACTGGAACGGCTGAACGCACCTCTCCGGATGCGGCATCATAGCCAAATGCCGTCCGTCCGGCGAACAGACTCCTGCCAAACCCTCGATGCTGCCGTTGGGGTTCATCGGATAGACCTCTGTGGGGTTACTGTCATCGTCGACGTACCGAAGGGCGATCAAGTTGTCTTTCACGAGCTGCTTGTAAATGGAATCGTTCTTGAAAGTGAATCTACCCTCGCCGTGGGCTACCCACACTCCGAAGGAGGATCCTTCCATGTCTTTCAGCATTATCGCTTTCGATTTCTCTATTTTTACAGTGCTCCATCGGCACTCGAAACGTTCCGAGAGGTTGTGTTCCAGCATTATGTCTGGCTTCGTGTTACCAGTTACCGGAGTTCCTACCCAGCCGATCAGAGCTAGTAGTTGGCATCCGTTGCATACGCCCAAACTGAACGTGTCGGGTCGGAGAAGGAATTTAGTGAACTGTTCGCGGATTTTGTCATTGAATAGGATGCTGGCCGCCCAGCCTTTAGCTGAACCCAAAACATCTATAACAGAAGAAAAACAATAAGAATTGAAATATAAAATGCCTATTCAATGCCTACTGATAGAAAGTGACCTACTAATCTGTAGGTACTACAAAAGCGGAACTGGTATAGCATTGGCCGAAATAAATTTTTGAACTAATGAATCACATTTTTAAGATTCGTCATATTATTCCCATAAACAGTTTTGATTTCGTTAAAAATATGGAATAGTGCCTTTCCCTGTGCAATCAAAAACCGGATTACGCTCCTTGCCTCGCAGCTGGCGGTATTCAGAATGATGGAACTCATTTCAACACGCCACTACAACAACAGTCCTCAACTGACTGAGACAAATGAGGGTGCGTTCTGTTCCCAACACCTTGGCACTAAATGCAATGTTGCCAACTTTGTGGAAAAGAAAAACCACAGAGCATTAGAGTCTCAGTACTCCCGCTTTGTGAATATGCCTCGTGTATGCATATACTTGCTTAAAACATGTTTTACTTTCAATACGAATCGTAATACATAATTTCACTTTGCCAAATAATGGAAAATAAAATTGTATATATATTATAGAATACTGGAAATAATAGAAAGAACCATAGAAACTAACGGTTGGAAATTTGACAACTGACAGTATTGGTAAAATGACCGAATACATCTGAAATTACAGATGGTGCCACTTTGGAAATAGTCGAAGCGCTTCAGATCTTTCATCTCAGTCGAATTTCGTGCCGAAAACAGTATTTGCAGGGAATTTTACTGTGCCCGAAGCACACAGAATTGTTGTTGTAACAATGCTCTGTTGCAAACAGATTGGTTTAGTTGCTTCAAAAATGATTTTGATGCTGAAAATAAAGAGTTCTCTGATGCAAACAATTTGAAATTGGAGGCATTGATGAAGACTCATGTCTGACGTTAGCTGAACTTGCAGAATCGTTAGGAGTCGATCACACAACCGTTTCGTAAAATTTGAAAACATTAAGGATGATGCAAAAGCAAGAACGTTGGGCGCCGCACGAGTTGAAGCCAAGAGATGTAGAACGCCACCTTTGTACATGTGAACAGCTGATGAAAAATAGATATAGTACAATAATCCTAAGCGCAGAAAATCGTGGGGTAAGCAGCCATGTATAGTCTTTCCGATATCAATTGAAGAATCAAGAGGTTGACAGTATGTACCAGGTTCGGTCGCTGACGCAGCAACTCAGCATTGAAATATTTGAAAAACTTGTCCCCATATTTATTTAGCCATACCCATATACAGGTCTGATCGAACTAAACGTGGAGGTGGTAGAAATGAATATGCCCAGTTGAATAACGAGAGTGCAGGCGAACGAAATACAAACACAGCTGCATTGGGCCACTGGGCAATAAACCTCAGCTGTTGAAAAGTGGTCAACAAATTCAAGTAATTTTAATTTATTATAAGTACCTTCTATTAATCATTCACATTACAATTGCGAAAGAGAGAAATTTACTATCAACATAATAAAATTGTTTGAGGACAAATAATTAAAATACGTTGTTGGCCAATGAACATAAAGAAAGTTTCTACACATTATATACAAATTATTATAATTTTTTACCTTTAGCAGAAAACTCTTTTAGGGACGCCTATGAAAGTCATTCAATTTTATTGCTAGGCGTTTTTTTGCATGTTCAACTGACTTCGGAAAGACTATAACATCGTTAGCAATGCTTCTGCTCTGCATTTGGTGGCATCAGTTGGGTTTAGTTTATTATGAGCTGCTCAAACTGAGTAAAACCATCACGGGAGATCGCTATCAACCATACGTTAAAGGAAGAATGGCCGATATATGAGCAGACACGACAAAGTGATTTTGCAACATGACAACACTCGGTTACATGTTGCAATACCGCACAGTGGGGAAAAACGGACAAGTGTCCATAAGACAAATTTTGATAGATTTTGATAATTTTTCTTTTAAACTAAAGAAATTTTCATGTGGTATTATACGAATCATTTGGGGTTTCTTGGTATGGGCTACATGAGTTTTGAATATATAGGTCAGGAATTTATGATTTTGGATTTTATGATTTTTAAGGTTTATTGAATTAGATTTTGGGAGTTTGGGATTTGTGGGTTTGGGTTTATGGGTTTAGAATTTGTGAATTTCGGGTTTGTTGGTTTGGGGTATATGGGTTCGGAGTTAATGGTTTTGAGTTTTTATAAATTTAAGGTTTGTGGATTTAGGATTGGGGTTTAAGGGTTTGGGTTTTGTGAGTTTGGGATTTCTTGGTTTGGCCTACATGAATTTGGAGTATATAAGTTAGGAAGTTCATGATTTTGGTTTTTATGATTTGTTGGTTTGTGGATTTAAGTTTTGGGGGTTTGGGATTTGTGGGTTTGGGTTTGTGTTTTTGGGGTTTGTGGGTTTAGAATTTGTGAATTTCAGATTTGTTGGTTTGGGTTGTATGAGTTTAGGGTATATGGGTTCAGAGTTAATGGTTTTGGGTTTAACAAATTTAAGGTCTGTGGATTTAGGATTGAGGTTTATGTTTATAGGTTTGGGTATTGTGAGTTTGGGTTTTCTTTGTTTGGGCTATATGAATTTGAAGTATATAAGTTAAGAAGTTCATGATTTTGGTTTTTATGATTTTAAGGTTTGTGGATTTGGTTTGTTTTTGGGGGTTTGGGATTTGTGGGTTTGGGATTTGTGGGATTAGAATTTGTGAATTTCGGGTTTGTCGGTTTGGGGTGTATGAGTTTGGGTTTTGTAAATTTAAGATTTGTGGATTTAGGAGTGGGGTTTATAGATTTGGATTTTGTCAGTTTGGGATTTCTTGGTTTGGGCTATATGAGTTTGGAGTATATAGGTTAGGAAGTTCATGATTTTGGCTATGATTTTAAGGTTTGTGGATTTAGGTTTTAAGGGTTAGGGATATATGGGTTTGAGTTTTGTAGGTTAAAGATTTGTGGTTTTGGGTTTGTGGGTTTGGGGTTTGTGGGTTTAAGATTTGTGAGTGGACTAAAGACTTTGTATCGTGTTTTTTGTGGGTACATGTTTTATTGTTTTCCGAAGTGAACTTGCATAATATTTTGATGATTCGTATAATAGGTACCACATGAAAATTTTTTTTGTTTAGGGTGTGGTCGGAGGGTCACATGTAAAATAAGTGTCTGCGAATAATTTAAAAAAAAATTATTAAGATTTATCGAAATTTATGTCTTACAGACACTTTTGTCCGTTTTCCCCACTGTGTACCAGTGAAAGCCTACTTGAAAACTCTTAAATTGGAAGTTCTACCCCATCCGCCACATTCATCAGATATTGCCCCTTCCGATTATCACTTGTTCCGATCGATGGCACATGGCCTAGCACAGCAGCACTTCCATTTTTATGAAGATGAAAAAAAATGGGTTGACTCTTGGATAACCTCAAAGGGCGTGTCATTTTTCAAACATGGAATTAAAATGCTGCCCGAAAAATGAGTAAAAAGTAAGCAGCTATTGATGGAGAAGACTTTCAGTGACATGTTTTTTACAATTTTTTTGAAATAAAAGATTAATTTCCACAAAAAAAAAACAGCGAGAACTTATTCAACATCTTTATAATTTATTCTACACTTTTGCTGCACACTGTATAATTTTCTTCACATACCTGCATAACTAAATCCTCCTGGGAAGATAACGCCTCGGAACCGATCCAGATTAGCGGCGCCTGTAAGCAAGTCCTGCATGGTAACATCCCACACTTTGAACCCGACTCTGACCAAAGCAGCTGCCATTTCCCGGTCTCCGTTCGTCCCTTCTTCCCTGATAACAGCTACGGGAATAATTTCTTGTTTGGCCAGTTTCTCTTCTCTATCAGGATCAAAAGTCAACAAGTATTTTGGACCCGTCCTGATGGGTAAACTGGCAAATTCAGAATCGGCGCATACTTTTATGGTTTGCTGCAATTCGAGTTTGTAGCTTGTTTCCTCCCACATTCTCATGAGTGGCAATACGGTACTTTCCAGACAGGCGTTGTTGACTGTTATGCTTATTTTTGATTTTATACCGTAACCCATGCTTCGGCCAATCTTGAATACCGGAACGTTATATTTCTGGAAAAAGAAGTTGGTTAAGGCAACTCATTAATAGACTACATTATACAGTCTATCTCATGTTAAGCAACCAGTATAATGTTTCGGAGTGTATGATGATTTGATTGATTTGTCATGAAAGGGCACAATCCTTTTAGGAAAATGACTTTCGCAACTTTTTTTGATGGTTTGCTTTGTAATAGTTCTGATCGTGTGGGTCAAAAGTCCCAATGGGCAGAAAGTCTGAAAGTCCTTTGTTTTGGACCACTTATACTACATAAACAGCAGTGATTTTTTTTGTAAAATTAAATTACATTACATTCATAGTAAATAGTCCTAGCCAGATTGATTCGAGATGTTTTTAACTTTCAGTTAACTTAAGGGAATCGGCAAGAGGTCATTTTTATTATTTTTAATAAAAGTTTCACATTTTTTTGTGTTGAATCGAAATCCGCAATAAAAAAATATACTATTTTATTTGAAAAAACTGACTTCCGGTCCGAATAGACTACTTCCACTGGGAACCGGAAGTTGAAAACATCTCTAATCGATCGGGCAAAGAATTCTGTATTCTTACTATACCGGGTGGCTCATTTTAATCGACACACCCGAATATCTCTGTTGTTAAGCCGAATAAAAAAAAATGTTCAGACAGAAGTTATTCAGGACAAAGGGGGTCACCTAACTTTAATAATAACTTTGACCTTGGTGCCAATTTTCAAGATCATTTGAAGGTCAAAGGTATTTTTTTAAATGGAAAACCCTATTTTTGACGTCAGATTCAGAAAGAGCGGGAAATTTTACGTCCAGAATGGTAGTTTAACAATTTTTAGAGTGACCTTGAAGAGGTCAAATCAAGGTCAAATATTGAAAATTCGTCCAAAAGCTGTTTTTTTGAATTCTTGGACAAGAGCACTTCAAAGGAAACAGAACTTGCTACGTCCACGTCCTTGTTTCTGGGTAAAGCTAAAGGTAAGATTAAGAACAGAAGTTAATTTTTTTATTTAATAAAACTGCTTCTAAATGATTTTCATATTTTACATTAAGGTCAAAATGGTCAGTTATAAGCTTACTAAACCACCAAGAATTTGAAAAAACAGCTTTTGGGCGAATTTTCAATATTTGACCTTAATTTGATTTTGATTTTCAAGGTCACTCTAAAAATTGTCAAAATTTTCCGCTCTTTCCGAATCCGGCGTTAAAAATAGGGTTTCCTATTTAAAAAAATACCTTTGATCTTTAAATGACCTTGATAATTGACACCAAGGTCAAAGTTATTATTACAGTTAGGTGACCCCCTTTGTCCTGAATAACTTTTGTCTGAACATTTTTTTTATTCGGCTTAGCAACAGATATTCGGGTGCATCGATTAAAATGAGCCACCCGGTTAGAGTAAGGGGAAAAATTTCAACTTTCAGGGGTCGTAGATCCAAAACAAATAACTTTCAGACTCCGTGCCTATCGAGACTTTTGATTCACATGAACAAAACTATCACATAGCGATTTTAAGAAATTTAGTCCAAAGGCACTTTCCATAAAGATTGCGCGAGGTCCTTTTCCAGGAATTTTCAGCATGCTTTTTGAATAAAAAATCTTTTTTACACTTCTCTGTATGATGAAAATTCACAACTTTGTGTCCCAGTCTTACAATCCCAAAAACAGAAATTCTATTGAATTATTCCAAATATGTACTTTTAAAGCTAGTGCTCCAAAATTGTTGTAAACTGTTCACTTTTGATAGGTATGTATTAAATTTTTGCCTTAGAAAAGAGAATGAGAATCATTAAAAAATGCAACAAAAATATATTCAAAGTAACAAAGGTTGGTGTTGACTTTTGGTATAACCAGAACTGTTACAATGGCATTATTTTTTTATAGAGCACATCGAAAATCCCTGTATACAAATTTTAATGACTTAAATCCCACTAGAAAGGTGCAAGTCAGGATTCGCCGAATTTCGCTTGTGCCTGTGGCGGTACACTCCCCACCAGCCGGTAAATATAAAATTTTTTGGAACACAATGTACCATAGTTTTTTAAATACCCTGTATGTAAAAGTTTGATACTAATGTTTTCTGTAATTCGAACCACAGACCTTCGGCTTCGCAGTCACGAGCTTATAAACTGAACTCAATTATAATTAGTTTATAAACTGCGTACGCAACTATTGAACAGAGTAAACCAGAGCTCCCCGAATTTACGTATGAAGTTGTATTCTCCACTGCCAGTGTTGCCAGTTGCTTTCATACCAACTACATTGTGTGAAGTTAAAAAATAATTTAGCAAATCAGATTGTTTTTGTATGATTTATTTACTTGTTATTTTAAAGCCATCGCATTTTTTCGATATCATTGTGATAGAAAAGCCGAATTAGTAAAAAAATTTTTCTAAAAAAAAATAAAGATTTACATGATTTATTAAATATTATTTAACTAATATTGGTATTAACTGCAAATATATATTTTTTAATAATGAAACTAATAAAAAATTATTTAATGAAAACAGATTGATTTTCTATGACGATGTGTTATTTTAGTCACCATATTTTTTTATATCAATGTGGACCAAGCGCCAAACATCAAAACAATTGTTTTTAAACAATTTTTAATTTTTACATGATTTATTACGTATTAACAAATATTGGTATGTAGATACGTTACTAATTGTAAATAATACTTATTTGTGTTTTAAAATAATAATTTTTGATGTTTTAAAAAACTAACAATAAAAAAACAAATGAAAATACTAAGCTGATTAATATGAAACCATTTTTTTAATCGTTTCAAGTTTTTACAAACATTTATGTGTTACTGTTTTTTAAGCAGTGTATATCTTACTTTTCAGTGTCAATGACCTGTAATAGTGACCTAGCTTTACTGTTACGTACAGTACAAGTGACGCGTATGTAAGAAATATGCTTACAAGCCTCCGCTGTTCTGTTCACATTTTGCAGATGTTCCAATATGACGAGTAAATGCATTAAATACAAACTACCAGGTTAATTTGACGGAACGGGATTGGTCGAATATATCGTCTCTTACATTCTTATTCAGTATTCGACTATATCATTTTGTGAAAAGCTATTCGTATAGTACCGTTGTGTGGTGTAAGTGTATAACCATATAAAGTTATTTATTTCAGTGTTTAGTGATGGTATAGCGTATTGTTTTTTCTTTTTCAAGTTTTAAGTGATATTATGAAAAAGCATTAAGAAAGAGTTGATATGATTAGAGCCTACTTTCTGTCCGAAGAAAACGATTCTACTGTAAGAAGACGATATCAGACGGATTATCCCAAAGGGCAGTACCTCATGGCAGGTGATGTGAAATTTGCTTTTTAATAATCTTTTCTTTAAATTATGAGATTTGGCAACGATGCATAGCCCAATTGTTAATTGTGGATGTGCTGCGACTAACACGTGCCGTTGTTTGAGATCACACTAGCTTGTCCAGAGACGGGGTAGGAAAATTATTAAAAAAAAGTTTAAAAAAATAATTAGTTTTCACAACGGAATTTGAAAAAATAAACTATTGATATGTGCTTCTAAAGATCAAAGGTAGCCTCTGTGTAGATATGACCCCCACTTAAAGTTACACCCTGTATACAGGGTGATTCAGTCATAATGCCATTAATTTTAAGAGCAGATAGAGAAAAATTAGTATAATACGATGGCGTGATTAAAAAAAAAATAAAAGCAAAATTAAACACAAAAAAAATATTTTCAAATCATTATTTAACCCCCTTTTCAGGCTGTTACTGATCGGTTGACGTCAGCCGGCTACGATATGAACAAAGCGACCTAGATGCAATGTTGCCATATTTATATATTTTCGCACATATAAAGACAATAAATAAACGGTTTGCTCACGTCAGCCAATAATAATTTAAAATGCTATAAATTATTTTTTTATAATTATGCAATCAACATATTAAATTGTTATTGTTACCCAGCAAGAACCTCGAGGAGGTCTGAGCATGACTTGCCAAAAATCATTTTTTATTAACATCATAGTGATAATTTTTTAATTTGCTGTAAGCCTTCTACTAAAAATTGAAAGTAACGCGGCCCATTCAGATGTACAGGTAGAAAATGCGGCCCAATTAAATCGCCATATAGGCCATATAGGCCTGTCCATACATTGACACCCAACCTCCTCTGAAAGCTAAACCGACGAGTAGTGTACGGGTGACCAAATGTGACTATTATGGCTGCAAAGAAATTAGCTCCATTTCACTTTAAATAAAATTTAATATTGAAGTTACAAAACCCCAAGAGTTCAAATAATTTAAATTACATTTCATAACCATTTCAATTTCATTACAGAAATAATGAAATAAAAAACCAACACTCACTAGATAAATTATACAGAGAGGGTGAAATGTATGTAGTATTTAAATATTGACTGTAAGTAATAGAAGATAAAAATACAATCGGACAGAGACAAATAAACAACTCGGTCCGTATTTCCGACCTAGGTCAACCTTTGTCGAGTTCAATAACCTTCTAATTTGCACGTGTGCACTTTAGTGTCATCACAAAAAGTTATCGGTGTTTTATCAAAGGAAAATCGTGTCATCAATGAATAGGGATGATTGTTTTCGAATGTACAGTTATTACAATTTATCATTTTTAATATTATTAACGTTTTAACGTTTTATAATTTATTATGTTAAATAATACACAGTTTTAGTATTTCAGTTTATTATTCAATATGCAGTTGCATATAACCAAAGTTTACATAATCAATGTAAACTTTAGTGTAAATCTAAACTTTGGTGTAACCTAGGTATTGTTTTTGAGAAGGCAATACTTATGTTTTTTACCTGTTTAAAATGCCAGCACGAGTAAAACAGCATTCATCCGTCCAGAGCACTTTGTTAATAAAGTTCTGCTGCACTTAGGAACCAATTGCAAAATTCAAGACGATTGGGGAAATCAGCTGCTTCTAAAGCTTGAACTTTTTGAAAATGTGTTATGTTAACTCCTTTGCGGGAAAAATGCGGGAGATATGGAGGGTGGTAGATTTAAATAAACGCTTTAAATTGTTAGGTAATGGTTTTGTAACCGTGTGTAGTGTATTTTGTATATTCGGGTATTTAATGTGCCGATTTTTTTTATTTGATATATTTCAGTGTGCCTACAAACCTCTGCTTTATTTATTTTCTTTTAACGAAAGTTGACTTCGAGAAGTAAGGCTTGTTAAAACATTTTGCACTAAGTCAATACAATTATTAAAATCAGTTATAATAAAATGCAGCATGATTCTTTATTTACTTGCATTTTATTGGTTTCGTACATATGTATCCGTATACTAAAGCGGCAAAACTAAATGTAATTATGATGTGAACTTGGCAACGCTGTTCGCCTCAGCTGACGGTTTGTTCGTGACATTACGTTACAAAATTTTCCGAGCATCCGGGCATCTGGCAGAGCCGCCTTCTTAGCGGGAGTTATGGGTTGATTTCCTTCATTTTTAAAAGTCGAGTAAAAAATTTTTTTTTTCCGATTTTCTGTCTTTATTAAACCTTCCGAATACGTGATTAAAATTATTGACATTATGACTGAATCACCTTGTATACAGGGTGGCTCAGTCATAATGTCATTAATTTTGCAGGAAGACGGGGAAAAATTAGTAGAATATGAATACGCGATTAAAAAAAAATTGAAATGCATATTTACACTGAAAAAAATATATTCAAATCATTATTAAAACCCCTTTTCGTTCCGCTCCTGACCGCTGACTTACAGGCTTTATCGAGAGTGAATTTTGACCTACCATAACATTCCGTCATTAACCTAGCTTTTAATACGGTTTTAATCTATAGTTAGCTACAATGAATAAATAAAGCTTTTTAGTCGAACATATGAATAAGATATTTTTTTACATTTTAAATATTTTTAGTATTACATGTTTAACTAATTATTCAGTTTGTAGTACGTATATTTCTTTGTGACTTATTGCCTTTCATTGAGTATGGTACCTACCTATTTAAAATGACTACAGCTAAAAAAAAACAATCACTCATTTGTCCATTACTTTGTTATTAAAGTTTTAGGATCCGCTGCACTATGATTTTGAAACCAATTGCAAAATTTTAGACTGGGTAAAAAAAAAGCTGTTTTGCTTCGACCTTCCAATGCTCAAAGTCCACTGGAGTGATCCGTGTCGCGAAGTAAAGCGTCGAATTAATTAATGCTTTGCTTGCTTATTTTTTTAAAAGGTCGAATAAAACTTTTTTCCCGATTTTCTGTCATATGTGGTTAAAATTAATGGCATTATGACTGAATCACCCTGTATACTGTATACAGATTAGTCTGTCAAATATTCCAATAGATGGTCACAGTTAGACACTACGTAAATGAACATACCTTAAGCACATTAAAGCAATGTGCGACATCACTATCTAGAACTTCCAAGACCCATCCGACCTCTTCCGAAAACAAAATTGGGAGTGACTTTCCTTGCCTGTGTTTTATATTAATATCCATTCCGGATATCCCAGCAAAACACATCTCCAGTAAACATACGACAAGTCCTCCGTCACTCACATCGTGCCCTGCTAGAACAGACCCATCTTTGACCAACTCCTGAGTAGCCAAAAATGCATTTTTCAGGTCATTCGCACAGTGTAAGTCTGGAGTTTCATGTCCGAGTTGGTTGTAGACTTGGGCCAGTGCGGATCCGCCAAGCCTATTGTCCCCATGGGATAGATCTACAAACAGAAGGACCCCGGTCTTGCCCATTGAAGGCGCTTTGAAGTCCGGCGTGACCACTTTCCGGACGTCGGGGCAGGGCGCATAAGTAGACACTACTAGGGTGCCAGGAGCTTTAACGGTGTCTTTTCCAACTCTACAAATGATAACGTTTACGAAATTATAAAGATAAAGACAGCAGAGAAGTGGTCTTTTGTCAAAAGATAGTTTGATAAATAAGTTTTTGTCCAAAATACAATTTTAAATACACCGTAATCAAGAGTCCAAACAAAGCATTGGCGTAAAAAAATTATAAATTTTTTAGTGTCCATTTAACTATTCTAAAAAATTCTATACTGTTTCTTTTTTGGGCTTTTCATTATATTTCTATAAAAAAATAATGTTTGTTATTTTATATATAGGGCATTCCACGCCAAATTGACCACTTTTAACCCTGACCCCTTTCGATTTGGCTGAAACTTTTTATTGTTTTCTACTCCATTGAAAACCTCTGAGAATTTTTAAAAACTTTTTCACCCAACTCAAAAAAAGTTCTGAATTTGTTTTTAAATAACCATAACCTTTTCAAAAATTGATATCGGATTTCTTTTTCAAAATTTTTGTTTTTAAATGTACTTTTTGAAAAAAAATAGATCAAAATTATCTGGACCTGGAATTTTTGAAAAAAAAAAAACGAAAATTTCTCGATTATAATTTTTTTATTTTTTTTTATTTCTTATAAAAAAACTGACAATTTTCTATTTTTTTTAGTGATAGAAAAAAAATAAAATTTGGCTTATTTCACATACCAGTTTGAAAATTTTTGAAAATGTATATAGAATCCCAAAGTTGAAAAAACTTATTCTATGCATAGATTGATGAGAATTTCAAAAAGTCAAAAGAGGATGGTTTCAAAATGATTTATTTGAGTTCAAATGCGTCTCTTTTAACCAAATAACAATTTTTCATTTCCTTTGTTTCTGGATGTCTTTTTCGAAAAAAATTCAAAAAAATTATTCAAAACGATCTTCTATTTTTTTATTAACTTTTTCAAATAAAATCAAAATTTTTTTCATGAAATTTTAGAATTAAAATTAAACTACACTGAAAAAACTACTCTTTGCTATTTATAACAAAAATAATTATAACAGGCCACCGGAATTAAACTTTCTTCACTGTAACTGCATACATTACATTACTCTAAACCGAGAGTGAGGTTTACGTGGAGTTTCCTTCACATAAAATATATGTACACTGGCGTCGAGTCTACCCGAACAGAAAAAATGCAATCTGGAGTTCGTCCCTGGGACATTACCCATTACTGCTGGCTGTCGACCACAGCTGCCAATAAAATTATGTTAGTGAAACGAGTCACTAGAATTAGCGTTCGTGTAGAGATCCCAGTCACACAAATAAATATTTAAAATTATAATTTAAATTAAAATTAACATTCGTTTAGGATCTAGTCGTATAAAGGGACGTCACAACCTTAAACAAAAAATTGTTGAAGCCTATTAAGCTGGGCAGCCACAGACCAGAAATTTTAAAAATAATTCAGAATTTCTGTTTTCATGGATAGGAGAATCAAAATATTAAGGCCTGGTACTTTGAGTCTCCATTAAGACTTGATTAACTAATCAGGCGATTAGACTATGAATATACATTTATAAAATAAATCGGTATACGTTGTCTAATCATGTGATTACTTAACCAAGGCTCCACAGATATCTGCTAATCATATTGCAGCCAAGTTAAGTGTGTCCAAGAACAGTCAATGGAGGCTAGACTTCCTGAGGGAAGAGTAACTAAAAGCCCGTTTCTGACAAAAAATATATACACTGGATTGTTTAGGGAATGACAAAAAATTTTATACAGTGTTTGTACAATTTCGCATTACTATACTGCCACTATGATGGCATAAAAACTTGATTCACTTTTATTAAAACAAACTTGATGAAGTGAACTGTATATTTACTAATTAAAAACGTTACTTTCAACAAAATATTGAGACATGTTGCCTCAACAGGCCTTCGTACACATCTGGCTTTTTACTTGACCATGCAGCGTGCAGAGGGTATAGAAAGTAGATATTTGTTTTATGTTGCAGGCCTCTTAAAAAAGGCCTGTCACAATTGATGAAGTGCAAGATGAGTACAACAGGACCGTCTTATGCTCTAACAGTATTTAATCTAAATTCAACACTTTTGGTATTGATGGCTGACAATTTATTTATTATTATACAAATAAAAGACTTTATTCAAAATAAGTTTCTGGCATCGTAAAATATGATAGAGAAATTCTTATGGCTTGGAGTCGATTTTTGGCATACATTCGCCTGATTAAAGGCACTACGGATCGTTTTATGTATCGAAACATACCAGAGAACGTAATGTTACCAAATGCCAAATTATTGTAAATGCCCTTAACATTTATTTATCAATACGATAATGACACCTGATACAGGGCCAAAACCATAAATAAATGCATGGTATCATAAGAATAATGTACAAATGTTGATGTGAACAGGTCAGTGTCTAGACTTAAATCCCATCGAAAACCTTTGGGAGAGGGAAAAATAAAGTTCATGTGAAAAATGTAATCGACTACTTCAGGAAATCCAAAAGTTTGTTAATCTACAGGGTTAATCAAAACTATGGAAAACCCCAAAAATCTCAGCGGGAAAGTATTTTTGGGATAAACGGTCAATGGTAAACTTGACCTTGAGGTCATGGTCAAGATCAGTTGGTTTTTTAAAATAGGGACCCTCCTTTTTGACCTTGGAAATCGAGAGCAGAAAATTCTGCAACCAAATATGACATAGTCTTCACCTTCAAACACCCATCCCATACGTGACTTTGTGATTTTGTTGGTACATCATATTGAAGAGACCTCAGAAGATCGTCCGGATTTAAACTTTGTGAGCATCTTTTTGCAGCATTTCACACGACGCTCCCTTTCCTTGTCATTGAAGTTGTGTGGTGTACTATTCTAGATGTTCATTTAAAATTTTAATTACGGTCTATGCAGAAATGTTAAGGGTTTCCTGAATCTGTTTATGTGATTCAGCAGTCTACGCAAACTAGTTTTTGAACAGTGACTATTCTTTCGGGTGTGGTCACTGCGCTCGAACGCCTCGGATGCGGATCGTACTCTAATTCTAATGTCTTTTTCAAACTGTTTGTATCATCGTTCAACAGTCCTGAGAGATGGCGCAATATCACCCAATAAACGTTTCATTTTTCGTGGCACTGTTGACAAGACAGCTCACGACAAAAATTATAATAAATTATCATGCGAATTTGGGACTGTGAGAGATGCCATACTTGCACATTTACGTCCTGTTTACTTGTCAATGCCTAAGCAGTTACTGACGCGTAATCATGAATATGTACGTACTATACAGGGTGTTCCTAAATAAGTGTCACAATGGAAAACTGTAAGTTCGTTTTGAAAAAAGAAACATTTTTTTCCTCTTCCATTTTTCTCTTCGGGCTTTCGTTTTCGAGACACACAGTGTCAAAATCTAAATTTTTTTTTTTTTAGTTTTTTGCCAGTATCTTAGGAACCATTTGAACTACAGAACTGAGCTTCTGTACACATTACCACTACTAGTAGCGCCAATGAATTTTACACAAAAAGAGTTCTCTTCGTTCATTGCTCTAAAGTCAACCATTTTCAAGAAAAATGACTTTTTATGAACAAAAACAAACATTTTTCTAACGTTTCGAAAATCTTTTGTAATTAAAAAAATAGGTAGTAATAATTTAATTTAATAAATTTAACAACAGATAGGATTTTAACTTAAATTCTTAAAAATAATTTTTTATCACTTTAGCGACTAAAAAAAAAACTGTTCAAAATTACGTCCATTGGCTTGAATGCATGCATTACTTCGGATCATATTTCTATGAATGTTGTTCATAATTTGATGGGTATTTCTAATTTGTTCCGCTGTGGTTTCAACCCTAGCGGTCAATTCTTAGACCGTATTGACAGGGGTTTCATAGACAATGCTCTTCATGTGACCCAATAAGAAATAATCAAGTGGGCATAAATCCGCCGACCCGCGAAGTTTTGACACCGTTTATCTCGAAAACGAAAGCCCGGAGAGAAAAATGGAAGAGGAAAAGAATGTTTCTTTTTTCAAGAGGAATTTACAGTTTTCCAATGCGACACTTATTTAGGAACACCCTGTATATAGAGATATAAAAATAAACCGTTTAGGTTTTGATGTTGTGCCAAACGACAAGATTTAAAAAGCAACCTCCGTATAAGTCACCCAAATTTTTTCGCAGCAAAATGTTCATTCTTTATTTATTTTACAGCATGGCTTCAAATTTCAATTAATAATAATAAATGCAACAGTTTTGTATATAGAATAGTTTGATTTCATTATCATACCGCTTATAAAGTATTTAGTCCATGCACCGACAAGTTAATGGAACTCTAATTTGGTTTGATACTGTACGTAAACCTCACCTTGCTGCCATACTCAGAGAGTCCTTGCCCCCATCGATTGCTATCCCCAGTTGAGACATCAGCTCACACATTGCCTTGCACGCATCAAATAGAGCCGCTCCTTCTCCTGGCAACTTGGCAGCCCACATCCAGTTTCCACTGCACTTCACATCCTTCAGGTCCGATATACCGGCGAATACCAAGTTGCTTAAAGCTTCAGCCACTGTCATTCTTGCACCTGCTGCTGTGTTTACCAACCCCTTGATTGGTTGTTCTCCAATGGAGGAAGCAATACCTTCCTAAAAAAATCAATATATTTGCTAGTTTGAGAGATTTCTTAAGAGATATTCTGATTTCGATTTTGGCATTTCCCGGGTTTGTTTGAATAAGAAAATAGAAAACACATTCCTTGTTTAGGATAGTTAGCTTAAACAATTAGTATTAGTTTAATCATTACTCAAATTGTTATAACGTTATTATTTACTCATTTTTGTTTTCTTATAACTTATAATTTCAATTCACTTATAAGCATGTCACTTATAATTTGACGCAGATAACTGAATCAAAATTTGTTGTAACTGCACAACAACGAAATACTTTTAAAGTCGGTCGTCGACCAAAAATGTGCCACTGTGTACCAGGCCTATTATCTTTTGTATGGAAAAATCGTTATTAATCGCCAATTGAAGCAGAATAGAAGATAACAGTGGTAAATTGTGGCTCTATTATAATTTGTTTGAGTGTTTGCATTACAACATTCGCTTAATAGACCAGGCGGAATCTGTTTCAAAACACCCATGTATGGATTAATTGTCAGAGTTGCGAGAAACAACTACTCCGAAGGCTATATGCCCCTACCGGCATTGTGCCTGATGGGTAAACTGACGAATGACCCTAGCTGTTGCACTAGGTGTTGCGAGTATAATTCAATGGCGGTAGGGGCATATAGCCCTCAGAGTAGTTGTTTCTCGCAACACTGACAATTAAAACATTGTCTTCACCCTCTACGAGTGGCAATCGTGCAACAAGTACTTGCAATATAGCAGGTCGCTTCCTACTATTTCCATTTGAATGGCACAGTTGGGAGTCAGCACGACAGATAGAGCCAATTGCGCTCCTGCATACAATGTATTTTCTTGTCGTGATGATATGACGCAAAACAGCTGGTTCGTTCGTCGGTTGTCTCACCTCTGATGAGGAAGACACACTGATGAGGACTAATAAGTCCGAAACCGGTCTGTGCCTGGTGGGTAAACTGACGAACGACCCTAGCTGTTGCACTAGGTGTTGCGAGTATAATTCAATGCCGGTAGGGGCATATAGCCCTCGGAGTAGTTGTTTTTCGCAACACTGACAATTAAAAAGTTTTTGAACTGTTTTGAAAAAACAGAAAAAAAATGGAATTTTTCCAGTTTTTTCACTATTTGTTTAATAATAAGTTTAGCACAAGTTTAGAAGCGCGCACATAGTGAAATTATGTTTTGTTATATCATTTTGGAGCCATTAAAGCAAAAATTAGCGATACTATACAGGGTGTCCCGAAATTTATGCAACAAAATTTAGTCACAGATTATTAAGACAAATTTAGGGGACCCGTATTTTGTATTTTTACCAAGTGGCCCCCTTTTTCGGAGTTACAGTCCCCTGAAGTCCACCCCTAAGAATAATCTTTTTTTATATCTCACAATCAGAACCCTGTTGTACAAAAATCACTAAATCACAGGGGTTTTATGCCATGTGGAATCTGATGGTGCTACGTCCCCTTAAGACAATTTTTCGTGGGCCCCTTTGTCTTGGAGCCAAAAAAAATTTGGTCGCATATTTAAATTTCTTAAAAATTATTAGTCTACTAGAAAGCCATTAAATTTAGAAACTTTTTATCTCTTTATACTTTTTTCATAAAACGCAATGTTTGGAGACAACTGTGAAAATGTAATCGAATGCATATCGTGATTCACCATTTTCCTCAAAAAGACAAAGACAAAACAAAAGAGACAGAAAAGTTTCTAAATTCAATGGCTTTCTAGCTAATAATTTTTAAAAAAATCAAAATTTGCGATCAAATTTTTCTGGTTCCAAAGACAAGGGGGCCCACGAAAAAATGTCTTAAGGGGTTTTTTCGCCAAAAAGTGTTACATTGTGAGATTTCACATGTCATAAAACACCTGTGTACCAAATTTATTGATTCTCGTACAACATAGTTTTGAGATATAAAAAAAAAACTTCTTAGGGGCAGATTTCAGGGGGCTGTAACTCCGAAATAGGGGCAAAAAGAAAAAATACGGGTCCCCTAAATTTGTCTTAAGAATCTGTGACCAAATTTTGTTGCATGAATTTCGGAACACCCTATATAAAACATCTACACCAAAACAGATCCCGCCTAGTCTGCAAATACAATCCACATCAAATTTGCCCGTTTAACTTGGAATTAAAATATATACATTTTGTTTGCTATTTTTGTTCCACTATTCGAATATGATATATTTTTAGTGCAGCATTTAATTTTTTAGCAACCATCAATTTAATTTATTCGAGCACCAATCTAATCATATTTTTATACAATTGGATTCCTTATTTTCTTTCAAGTTTAACGATGTATCACATATTACTCTTTAATGACGTTTTGAACTAAATTCATTACCAGTGTTAATTTTATTACCCAAAAATAACCGGACGAAATTAGTTGCGCGCGTCGCTCTTGTAGTTCGCGTTTCTCCCGCTAGATGAGTGCTTTCTGGGTCAATCTGCTGAGTAGCATAGCTTGAGACGGCTGTAGCGAGCCCCCAAAATAGTTTTCTTGGGACCTCTTTTATAAAATATTCGAAATCAGCGTGCGACATTGAAATTTTGTTTTCTGCTCAGTAAAAGTGCATCCGAAGCAGTTGATATGTTGTCTACAATGCTTATAAAGAGGAAAATATTTGCGCGCTTGTGTACAAGGATAGAAGGCGTACTATTGATGTACTTGCTGAAATATCTGTTCTTTTGTGGAACTCAGTGCAACACATTTTAGCTGCAGACAACTTGGAAGTGGAAGTTTTGTTCCTCTGGATGATAAGGGAGCCGAGAGGAAAACATTTTGCAGACATTTTCGAGGTGAAAAGACAATTGAAGGAGGCGGCATGAAGGCATCGGAAACAACGAGAACAAAAGGTGTTTCGTGCAGTGGAAAAACGTTTGAACCAATTAAGTATTATTAATTATTAGTATTAACGAAGAGTACTTTGAAGGTGATTAATGTTTGAAACACAAAAAAATAAGTTCATCACAGGAAATCGCTATCAACTACAATTGATGAGTTTGAAGAAAAACAGCCACTATATGAGCGGAGACACGACAAACTGATTTTGCAGCATAACAACATTCGGCCACATGTTGCAATACCAGTAAAAACCTACTTAGAATTGCTTAAATTGGAAGTCTGCTTATTCCACCCACCATATTACCCAGACATTGCCCCTTCCGATTATCACTTATTCGGATCGATGGTACATGGTCTTTCATCCTTACGAAGATGTCAAAAAATGAGTCGATTCTTGGATACCCTCAAGAGATGTGTCATTTTACTGACGTGGAATTAAAATGTTGCCAAAAAGATGGAAAAAAAGTGGAAGTGGAAAAGTGGGATGGAAGCTAGAAATGGACAATAATCCCAGTGACGCGGGTTTTAATTTTTGTAAAGAAATCAATAACTTTGACGAAAAAACAGTGAGAACTTATTCAACATCGCATTACAATAACCCACAAAGGTCACACTAGTGCGAATTTGCACCACCATTTTCTTTGAACAGCTGGCATTTCTCAGGTAGTAGCTGCCGAGGGTTCCCCACCACAATAATTCCCTCAGTCTGATATTGTCAGCCAAACTGGAGTCTGAAAAGTCAGATAGGTGCAAATTCGCACTACTGTGACTTTAGTGTGAGCAAAAGTGTGACTGAATTTATATCATTTAATCTACAAATAAAGTGAATTGAAATGCGCATTTCCGATTTTTTTCACCTCATTTTACGTGTCGAATAGATTAGAATAGGTTATTTAGTTACTGCTAATTTTTCAAACATTTTTTTCAGTAATAATTTAATTGTAACAAGTATTTGTCAATATTTGTGGATAATATTGTTTAAATTAATATTTTTATGCAAAAGATTGCAAAATAAACATCAATTTACAGAAAACGAGTAAAATCAATCATTTTATCAATGGGGTATTTTTTTCTTAAATATATACTTTGAACTCCAAAATCCTTGTTTTTACTTTTCTCTAGCCATTATTTATTAAAAAAATACCATGTTTAAAAAAATAATTTTTCGAAAAATGTTTTTTTTTTCAATCGCATTCGTTATTAACAAATTATTTTTTTTTTCAAAACTAATTACATCATTCAATTTCTCGGAAAATTTTACATTATTTTTTTGTTAACAAATAAAGAAGACATAAAGACAAAATCCCAATTCGCACTAGTGTGACCTTTAAGGTGTTCCACCCCAAGTATGATCTTTGAGGATTAATAATACTTACATAGCCAAAATGTGAAATGGCTGTAACAGCCACGTCGGCCAGAGGAGTATGCAGAGGTCCTACGCACTGCTGCTGCGCAACAAGTCCAGTAACACACCTGTCGACCTTGTTGGTGAGATACCTCTTACTCCCTACCGAAGGTAACCTCAGAACTCTTTCAAGACTCTGGAAAATAGATAGTGCTTTGGGAAACTTGAGTTCTTTGTACAATTGCGTCTTCCTTTCGAGTTTGAAAATCTTACGTGGCATTTTCCCTAAAAATACTCAACATATCAACTGTTGGGATAACTTAAACGTACGATCAAACTAACCTAAGACGTATTCCAGTTCCAAGTTAAAAGGAGTAACCTTGGCCGTTTCATCCAGCGTTAGAACAACACGCCCTGTACCAGTCACCTCACCGACAACATTAATCGGACACCTCTCCCTTTTGCAAATAGCCGACAGTATTTCCAGATCTTCCTTTCTACATAACAAGGCATTATTCTCTTGATATTCCGCTCCCCACAGTTCAAGAATATTTATGGTCGGATCACCCAATTCAAATTTGTTGGTGTAAATTATACCCCCGGCAGGTTCTACCAGTTCTTTTAAAACGTTGCCATTACCTCCTGCTCCTTGATCATGAATGCTGACAATCGGGTTCTTCTTGCCCATTTCTAAGCAAGCTCTAACAACCCTATTTAGTTTTTGCTCCATTTCAGCGTCACCTAAAAGACAATCACACACAATACGAATAGGGTGAGGTCGTTTTATACAGGGTGTTACATTAAGCGGCCGGGCAGTTTTTTAGAATAGTACGTGTTTCCCTGAATACTAAGATGAATTTATTTTATTTCTATAGGCCCGATACTTTGATTTTTGATAAAATGTAAATATGAGACCATTAAAATTTAATTGATGGATTTTGTACTTTATTTTGAGGTACCTTATTAGCATTTGTCCTGTGTCGGTTCATTTAGGATTCAGTGTATTTTTTTTTAATTGGGCAAAATTAATGGATTATTTTGAAAATAGATACAGTAGTAAGGAGTGAAAGTGGCTAACCCAATAATCTGCGGTACATTCTATTAACCATAATACATTCTATCAAAAAAGTATCCAGAATTTAGTTAAAAATTTAGGGTAAAGTAGATTTAAATTTCTTTTTTGACGGAAAGTTGGTAACACTGTACTCTACTTTAACGCGAAGTTTGAGCGCGATCTGTCAAGTAGTTTGTTTACAGCTGTTAATTTTGTTAGATCACCTAAAGCATGTTCCATGACTTTTCTTATGGATAATGTTACTGACCAGAGTTTTCCTAAAATTTTGTGCTACCAATGGAATTTCTCGTGCTGAGTTATTAAAAATGTTGGGAAAGACATGACACAGATATGGTATTTCAGTTTTATCGTAAACTCAAGCATACGAATGGTACAAAACATTTAATCATGGTCAAGAAATGGTTGAAGATTTGCCATGTTTCGATTGTCCTTCAACGTCTTAAAATGAAGAAAAGATCGATAAGGTGAAGGGAAATGGTGCTTACAAATCGTCATTATAATTGAGAGAGCTGACATATCAACTAACTATATCTCAGGAATTAGTTCGCACCATTTTAGCTGATGTTTTGGATATGAAAAGTGTCGCAGCACGGCTGGTTCCAAAAGAGCTGAATTTTCTTCAGAAAGAGCATTGAAAGCAGGTTTCTGAATCTTCGGATTGGCCATTCTAATGACCAAAATCAAAAAAATCACGTCAAAGTCGATCAAAAATCAAAGTAATGGTGACCGTTTTCTTTGACTATTGTGGTGTTATCCACACAGAATTTCTTCCGGATGGAGAAACAATCAACAAAGACTGGGCGTTATGAGTCATTTGATAGTATCGGCCACAAAAGACCAGATTTATGGAAGGATAATTCTTGGATTTTGCATCATCAATCAAAGCGATAATTGTGAATTAATTTTTTACCAAAAGCTCAAGGAATGGCCTCCAGTAGCCACCATATTCGCCAAATATGACCTCGGCTGACTTTTCCTTTTTCCCAAACTCAAATTACCACTTCGGGAATACGTTTCGAGTCGACAGAAGCCAGAAAACAAAAATTGCTGAAAGAGTTGAAGCCCATATCAGAATATGCATTTAAAAAGTGTTTCGACAACTGAGCTGTTTGTTGAAAAAAGTGTTTTGCTCCAAATGTAGGCTATTTTGGAGGAGACAAAATAAATTTTGATGATTAATTGAATATATTGTGTTTTATTGACAAATTCCAGATACTTTTTCAAGGGAATGTATTTTAAAATATAGTAGGATCATATTCGATGCAAAGTAAATAGTTGTCGGTCTTTTATCAAAGGAAAATTGTGTCATCATTTTTAGGAGGCGTAAGATGAACTATTTCAAATTTAAAATGAAATTGAATGTAAAATCTGAAATACCGCTGCATGCGCACTGTGTTCAGGTAGTAGCTGTAGTCGCCCAGGTGCATCGAGTGTACGAAGTGGTCGATTATACAACAAATACTAACATGGCGAGCTTGGTCATAAAACAGAGACTGCCTCCAAAAAACAAGTAAACAGTGGCGCGTACAGAATTAAAATGTAGTACAGATGTGGAATTTAAAAAACAAATTAGATTTATAATAAATTACATTTAAAATAAATAGTTTATGCGAATAAAGGAATTTTTGTAGGAACAAGGGTGCCAGACGTGAATGGATCCCTTTGCCCCTTCATAATGTATAAAGAAATTATTCAATTTCTAAAACCCTTAAAAGCGTATGGCACTGGATCTCTTGACAGGCAATGATTTATTACTTTGCATCGAATATGATCCTACTATAGTTCAGATATGGAGTTTATTTTGGATTAAGAGTTTCAATATTTGTAGATATTTCTGTTAAACCTTTCAAAAAATGTGTATAATATCTTTTCATTTACTATTTTACGATTAACTTAGTATTATTTTATAATTCATTGGTCAATATATCCAGCTAACACATCCTTAAAATTAAAGATAAAATGGATATTATAAAAAGATGATGATTTTGAAGAAACTTTGCTGCTTTCTATGACAATAAAAAAAAAATCAATATAAAAACACCAATATAATGATTTGTCTATTTCTTCCTCACTAATTTTGGACTAGGTTCGAACGTTTTATCCCACTCCAAGATTCTAATGTATAATATACCTACACCTACCTCTCTGCACAGCATTGAAGTCCAGCTCCACCTTATTATCACCTTGAACCTCTACAGAACTAGCAGATCCTCCCCCAACACCAATCCTGTACACTGGACCACCGATCTTAATAATTTGATGGCCCACTTGAGGTTTAAGCTTTTCTGTCATCTCGGCTTCCATACTGCCGATGCCTCCGCTAAACATGATTGGTTTTATCCATTCTCGTCTTCCTTGGCTCGCATCGATCAGTCCAAAAGTTCTCACAAAACCAGAGATAAGGGGTTCGCCGAATTTGTTCCCATAATCAGAGGCTCCGTTACTAGCCTCTACGAGAATCTCTAAAGGGGGCGCAAAGTTTAACGGGTATTCAAATGATTTATCTTCCCACGGTAAATCGTATCCTGGAAAAATTTTAATTAATCCAAATAAAATAGAATTACTATTGGATAGTAACAAGTAACAAAAAATTTGACATGTAATTTAATTTACCAAAAAGATGCACTGACAGGAAAATATTTCGTTATTAAAAATTTATTTAATTTAAAGGAATGAAAAAATTTATATGAATTTTGATGTATGTAGGTTTTAACTATATCCAATAGTGTTTTGTATTCACTCTTGTCCTTTTTTTATTGCTTATTTATTGTATTTGTTTGTTTTTAATCTGTTCTCTTTGACACAGGAGGTGTTGTAAATCAACTTTGTTGATACACCTTCCTTTTGTAAAAATGTTGTTTATACTTCTTTTTTGCAATAAATGTATTATTATTATTATTATTATTATTATTATTATTATTATTAAATGGCTGGAACTGTGTTTGATGTGAATAGAATAGTTAAAAAAAAAAATAATTTTAAACCAAATCATTTTCTACCATTATTTTTTTTATTTGTTGCTTATTTTGCCTATATTTCAAACAGCCTTATGCTATTTTAGTTCATTTATTTCACGAAAGTAAACAATTCAAACTTTTATTTATCCATTTAGACTATCAGGTAGAATATCAGATTGTGGTTTTGTCAATAAAATTATTCACCACTTTTTGTTCTCATGCTAAAATAATTTGCATATTTTTTATTTAATATAACCACATCGGCAATGGGTATAACAATTAAATAAAGAAATAAAGCGTTATTTTACCTTTGAAATAAACTTGATTAAAGAAAACATTTTTTCAAAGCTTTATGAATAAAATGTGGTTTTACAACAGACAAAACAGTAAACTCGAGTTTTACCAGTTTAATAATACCAGCTTTACCAGTTTAATAACACCAGTTTTACCAGAATAACAATAGCACTGGTCTAAACTTAATAAAAAAGACATTTTATTGATAAAACTGATTAAAATAGAGAAATCAAATTTTAAGCAAATGACAAAAACTTTACGTTTTATGTCAGTATATCTTAATTTATATATTTAATAAAAAAAATTTTAATATATTTGCATGTTTATATTATGCGTTTATTTATTAAATATGTACTTAAATATGTTTTTTTTTTAATCCAAGACATATGTTATATCTTTGTATACTTAAGGGGGGAAACCACATTAGGAGACTCAAAAAAATTGTGTTTCTTTTCATTGCATAAATTGTTAGTATAACTATCCAAGAATACGCTGCCAAAATTTCAAACCAAAATTCTTACTCGTTCCGATTTTATGAGCCTAAAACTAAATGCCCATCGGGTCGAGGCTCGGCGCTCAGCAGATAGGGCGGAGGGCTTGTTCAGGTAGTCTAGTCACATATTAAGCAAGAATTGAACAAATGCAAGCTCAGAATGATGCATATGAGGAACAAAAAGGACTGTTATATGGTGCTGGAATCGCTGATTGATCAGAAAGCACTCTATATTATTGACAACTTTCTGAAATTTCTAGTTTTCGGAAATCTTCGCGGAAAACGCGTTTTTCTCAAAACGACAATTTTATTTATGGGAATTCTAGCTCAAAAAGTTATGAACCGTTACGAAAATTGAAAGTGTGTTTATTTATGAAATTAAAAAGAACATGAAGCAACAATTGGGATACCATAATGTTAAGGATGTTTTTTTTATAAAGTGAAAATAAGTGAAAAAAGATGGTGAAAATCGATACCTTTTTTTGAAAACGACATTTTTTATTCACGGCAGTTCTAGCTCAAAAAGTTATGAACCGATCCTTACGAAAATTGAAAGCGCGATTCTTTATGAAGTTAAAAAGAATATAAATCCACAATTGAAATGATACCATAACGTAAGGGTGTTTTTTTTTTATAAGAAGTGAAAATAATTGAAAAAAGATGGTGAAAATCGATACATTTTTTTCAAACACATGTCATATCTTCAATTTTCACAATTTTTACCTGCAATGAGGTTCATATTCTTAGAAAACATGTTAAATTAAAGTAAAACAATCATTTTACTTTCAGATCAAAATTGCGAGCTCCACATTTCCCGTGAAAAACCAACTTGGACGACAACCTTTGGTGGACAATAGCCCATAACTTTTCATCACAAGTGACTTGAAAGAATTTGTAAATGTGGTTCAAAATATTGATAAAATAATATCAAAGTTTCAATCAATCAATTTGTCCCACTCAAAAAAATTCATAAAAAGCGCCTGAAATCAGCCTAATGTGGTTTCCCCTTTAAACAAAAAATCAGAAAAATTTATACGAATAAAAACAATAAAAATTTTAGCTTAGCAAGATAAACTTAAGCTAAAATAGTACAAATGTATTCAAAATATAATTTTAAACTTAAATAAGCAAAGAAAGTGTCCCAAACAAGCTATATGGGTGACAAAATATTATTTGGGTCGCCAAGTATATCACCCCAGTATTTTATTTTTATATTCTACAAATTAATCTTAAAGTTATACTAATTGATAATCTGAACTAATTTTTTTAACAAGAAACAAACATACAGAGCATCAAACGTCATATATTATAATAATTAGCAAATATTAACAAATAAATGGTTTCACAATCGATTTTATAAAATTACTACACAAAGATACCCCCAGCAAACTCTAATAGATGTTATTTGCTCTTATCACTTTGCAAGTGATGAAACTGCTATTTTCGAAGAAGAATTTACAGAGTATTGCAAAATGACTTTATCATGACGATAATTAATATTACGAAATATAGAAAATTAGGAGTATTAGTACATCATATATTTTATACATATTTTTAATCAACTGTCTTTATATCACTGGGAATTGGGAAATGTATATTTGAAATATTTCTGAATATCTGACATTTCTAATAACTGATTTCACTTCAAAAAAGTATTTTTAATACATAGGTATAAGGTTTTAATATATGCTAAGAAGATATTTTCCAAATTCAATAGTTTTCATAAAATATTGTTAAGGAATTTTACAGCATTACTAAAATCAAGGTGGATTATTATTACATTATTGAAAAAAATACCTGGAATGTGCAGATTTCCTACAGAATATCCCGCAGTACCTGCAATACAATATCCACCCCTTCCAACACTCTGTACATCCCTTATGCGTCCACCGGTCCCGGTAGTAGCCCCACTAAATGGAGCTACACCGGTGGGGAAGTTATGGGTCTCAGCTGTAAAAATCAGATGAGATTCAGTGGGTACCTGTTTAAGTTCACTAACAGAGCCTGACGTGATTGGACGTAGACTGCGATGAATATAACCTTTAATGGCACTACAAAAAAAAAGAATAATTTTTTTCACTGTATGATGAGGTCAACAGTGTAGGTAATTTAGGCAAGGCAGATGGACAACCAAACATTAAAAGAACATAGATATTGGAAAAAGAAATTTAATGGAAGTTTGTTAGGGGCTTAGAATTGAGGTTTGTATAATGCAAATTTTGGAACATAGTACATTCTTTTAATAGTTAATAGTTTTTATATGCAGATTCAAAAATAATTATTTTAAATAGGTATACTTTGATAAAACATATTTTTAAAAAATTATTCTAACTTTATTACTGGGCAATCCAAATCAGTCAATTTACCAAAGAACTAGCAATGTATAGCTTAAACGAGGAAACTAATAAAGAGCAAATGATTTTAGTTAATTTTATATTTCCTATAAGTACTAAAGGACCCCGCACAAATCTTATGGAAATTGGGTCCCGGTCAAATTCGCTGAATTTTTGATATGTGATAGAGTTCATCATACTGGTCAATTGTCTCAATGGCCACAAAGCTCAAAAATGGATAGTTTGGCCGGTACAGAGCTTTAAAGCTCCGAATATCCTCCACGGATTTATGTATATGCGCAGTGTGTATAGACTTTTGAAATAGCCTATTTCATTTTTTTTATTATCTAGGTTTATATTTTTGAGGTTGCTGAATTCAGATCTGTTGTTAGATTTTCAAAATTGACAGTTGGCAGCTGTCAAATAGCTGTCAATGTGCTATAATAAAGCCAAAAACTTGTTTTTTTATGTTTTATCTTTCTTTTTTTTTAGTTCGATAAGTTCAAAGACGATATCAAATCAATAACAATGACTATCGGCAGCTGTCATTTAGCTGTCAACAATTCTTCAAAGTCCGGTAATAAAGTCAAAAAATTATTTTTTGTTTATAACTTCAAGTTTTTTAGATAAGTGAATATAAATATGATATAAAATTATGTAGTCATCAGCTTACAGCTGTCAACAAGCTGTCAACTAACTGTCAAAATGCAATAATAAAGTCAAAAAGTTACTTTTTTTAAAAAGCTTTAAGTTGCTTAGATCACTGAGTTCAAAAGTGATGTCATAAACTTATATCATGTTTGATTTCTTATCCACAAAGTTAAGCACAAAAAATAAGTTACTTGCTCTATTATTGCATTTTGACAGTTAGTTGACAGCTTGTTGACAGCTGTAAGCTGATGACTACATAATTTTATATCATATTTATATTCACTTATCTAAAAAACTTGAAGTTATAAACAAAAAATAATTTTTTGACTTTATTACCGGACTTTGAAGAATTGTTGACAGCTAAATGACAGCTGCCGATAGTCATTGTTATTGATTTGATATCGTCTTTGAACTTATCGAACTAAAAAAAAAAAAAAATAAATCATAAAAAAACAAGTTTCTGGCTTTATTATAGCAAATTGACAGCTAGTTGACAGCTGCCAACTGTCAATTTTGAAAATCTAACAACAGATCTGAATTCAGCAACCTCAAAAATATAAACCTAGATAATAAAAAAAATGAAATAGGCTATTTCAAGTCTATACACAGTGCACATATACATAAATCCGTGGAGGATATTCGGAGCTTTAAACTCTGTACCGGCCAATCTATCCATTTTTGAGCTTTGTGGCCATTGAGACAATTGACCAGTATGATGAACTCTATCACATATCAAAAATTCAGCGAATTTGACCGGGACCCAATTTCCATAAGATTTGTGCGGGGTCCTTTAAGTATAATACTCGATTTAACATCAAGTTGATCAAGAAATTGATGAAGTTGTTTTTGTTTTTTATCTCCATACACTGACGATACACAAATTAGGAAAATTTTCAAGTTTCATTACAAAAAAATTTATTAGCCAATTTTGATACACAATTTCTATTTTACATATTAAATAGATTATTGCGGTTGTTATTCTGACGTAAATTATAAGTCTATTATGGTTGGTGGTTTGCTGTTATTGTGATTATTGATTTTTATTCTAAAAGTTAAAATTGATTAATAAGTTGGCTAATTTATTTTATAGTAACGATTAAAAGAAGTGCAACAAATACTGTGAACTCTTCACTATTTCTAATTTCTAGGTCAATTTATTAAATGTAAAATCTGTTTTAGACAATCTCAAAAAATTTAGAGGAAAAGTCTAAAGGAATTTGGGGGTTGGTAGAGGTTTATTAAACAAAAAAGTTTTAAATCAAAAATTATTACAGATCTACTAAGGTTTCTTAAAGTCAAAATAAGTCAATTTAAATAGCTAAACTTCATTTCCACCAAAGTTACTATGTTTACCTGCTAGAAGTACCTAGTCAAAATTGGCAAAAAATAATAGATTTATTTTATTATTTTAAGCTAGCAGTTGTGTTTAAATGTCACTTTTTGGATTGCCCTTTTGGAATAGGAACCGAGGTAATTAACTTTTCGAAACAGAAACAATTATCCAACCCCTAACCAAATATATCATTTTTCACTAATAACATCAGTTCCTGTCGAGATTCCCTTGTATTAGTGAGATAAATAAGGGACATTTTTTCTTTCTGTAAAAATTTCTTCTACTGGCTAAATGGAGCAATTTTGGATAGAGGTAAAGCTAGAGGTAAATTTAGCTAGGTCATTTTATTTTCACCGCAGAGCCTGTAGAATATTGGGACACCCTGTATAATTAATTGAAAATATGAAATGTAAGAATATTCCAAAAATGCAATAAATTTTATTACATGTATTATTTTAATCTAGCAGACAGACGATTAATTAAATACGATAAATCGATTTCTTATCATATTTTAAACAGTTTTAAAAATAAATAACATAAGTATAAATGTAAAAATGAGAGAAACGAGCAGTAAGATTCTTTGTTTTTCTATACCTACAAGAAAATAATATTATTTCAAACAGATAAAAATTAAACTGTTATCTGTATAAATAGTATGTTTATCAATAACATAGAACAAATAGAATGATCTTGAATGTGTTGAATGTCAAAGACAATTTTGTGAAGATTAAAACATCGTAAAATAAAAATTTCCTAAGCCTTATATCAACAAGGCTACAACTTTCTTCTTATATAATTATTTTATGATTAAGAACAATTTAAGTAGAATATTAGGTAGGTACCTAGTAATGATTGAAACATAAAGTCCGATTTTTTTAATTTCAATTATTAATTATTATCTCCACGTCTGTGAAGAGGTTATTAAATTAGGTAACTTAAAAATCATAAGACTTAAAAATAAGTAGGAATAAAACATCTTACCTGCTATTATCACTAAATTTAATAACATTATTTGGGTTTGTGTGTTTCTGAGTATTTACAATTATATCGATCAAGGATTCTTCATATTCCACTCCATCAACAATCATTTTTCCCTTGAAAAACCAATGCCTACTATGTTCACTATTTGACTGTGCGAGATCAAAGCACTCTACGTTTGTAGGATTCCGCTTTAAGACAGTTTTAAATAGATTTGTATAATATACTAAATCGGCTTCATCAAAAGCTAATCCTAGTTCCTCATCGATTTCTTTCAGTGCATCGACACCTCTGCCTAAAACGTCAATATCACGCAAGTCTTCTTTTTTCACCAGTTTTTCATTAAAGCTTTTTTTGGGGATATTTTGTGACGTGTATCTACATTCAGTCATACGATCATGTAATAGAGAAACTAGATTATCTTCTATTTGTTTAGTAACTTTGCTAACATCTTGAAAAACTAGCAAATATCTTCTCGATACTTCTAATCTTACAACTTGCGTTAAACCCAGACTTTTGCAAATGGACACAGCATTGGTAGAATTTGAAGTGGAAAAATTAAATCGTGGCCCCACTTCAATTAATATACTATCCTTTGCTTGTTGTAGAGTTGCCTTCTCGGACAGATTTTCAGGATGAAGTGGATCTTGTAGCACCCATTTCAAAATTTCTTTTTCTTTTTGAATTAAAGGCTTCGTGATTTCTATATGAAAGCATATTTCTGTCTTCACGTCTATCAAATATGAAGTATTTAGTTGTAGTTTACTAAGAATTTCAAATTTCTTTGCAGTTGTGCATCCTGGAGATCTATATAACCTCACAATACTGCTGTCCGTGCTCATTGTTTATACATACACTACAACTTAATAGCTAGGACTAAAACAAATGTTTAAATTTATAACTCAAAAATGTATGAGATTAACTATAACGAGATAGTAAAGTTCATGCTTGCAATAAGGTTATCTTCATCGAGTTACCATTTCACATTTAATTTTAATTTGTAAATTTGTTGCTTTCTTTCTATTTTTTGTCGATCTTCTCCCACTCAATCTCAGTTCGTTCCGTTCTCTCTTTTCATTTCATGGTTGATTTCATATTCAACTTTCCGGTATATTTACATTCCATTCTATATTTTTCTAAGCTCTAAGCTAGTGTTTTATGGTATTGTCACAATCGTAGGTAGTCTCCGTTCGGCGATCATGCCCCGTTCCATGTTACATTCACCAAGCAAGCAAATGCACATTTGAATTCGACCAAGCGTCACGATATTAAGGTGTGCTAATACTGCTAATACTGACAGAGTAAACTTTGATTTTTATGTAGGTAGTTAGGAACTACCAGTGACTATAAAAAGAATTCTTTTCATAGTCACTGGTTCTACGTATATTGTAACGCTAAAAATCCAGCACCAAGGGGACTGAAAGTCATAAAAAAATTTTTAAAAATCTGAAGATTAGGAAAGAGTTGCTACTCTTTCTTACTTCATACTAGTGCAGGAAATCATATTCGAATAATTCGAATATTCGAATTACTACTGTCTATAAATTCAAATAAGTGTAAATGTAACTATTCGAATAATTTGACTATTCGAGTTATTCGAATAATTTAACTATTCGAACATTCGAATTATTCGCTTAATTTAACTATTTTAATATTCGAATAATTTAACTATTCGAATAGATAAATAGTCGAATATGACATCATGCATAAAGTATGTCATCAGGACAGGATAAGTTGTACAATATTACTAATTTCAGCTCTCTTAAAATACATTTGAACTTTCTACATCGCTACAGATGGTCCAGGTAGTGCCACTTGAGTTATTGGCGGGACTGCTGGTCCACGATTACATCAGTTTCCAAAAGAAACTTATGTAGCTTCAAGATTAAGCCTTCCTTTTTGATTTTGTATACATAACCGACCTTAGCATCTGCTGTTTCGAGACCAACATTTTCATTTTCGCTGTCGGAACATGTTTTATAATTTCACGTACCTACAAAAGTTTTACCTAAATACATAAAACTTGAACCAGGTTACTCAGAAGTAGTGCTTATCTTCCTGTCGGGAACCTTACCAGCGGTAGGTTTGAAGACGAAGAGGCATGTAATGTTTCTAACTAACTTCTTGACTACCCGAAAAACCAAACCAAATTTCATCGCAATAAATAAAAGTATAAAAGTGATGAAGTTATCTTACAAAAATTAAATATACTTTTTTTAATCTTAACTTTTTATTGAAGAAAAATAAGATAACGATCTAAATCGGTTTATTTTCTTCTAAGTAAGACGATAAATTTATTTATTAACAATAACAGTATATCCACATAAAAGTGTACTATACACCGTGTCCACCTAGTGCGCGTAAGTCCAATATCTAGGTTAATAAAAGATATAACTTATTTTTTTTTTACCAGAGTTGTCCACTTTCATGAGCTGCACAAAATGGAAATATATTTGCATATACAGGGTGTTCAGTTTTTCCTGGGCAGGTACCAACTTAATTTTTTTAAATGGAAACCTATATTTTTTATGGCATTATCGAATTCTACGTGAAAAATTAACGGGACTTTGTGTTACGATCCGTATTAAAATATTGATAGTTAATTGACATAATTATGATTGTATGACAGCTAGAAATTATTTTTTTTCAGGAACTGTAGAGTGAAGATGGCTCTTTCAAAAAACGTATCAAAAGTTGACCTACGATATACAGGGGTAAAAAAAAATCGTGCCAAATTTGATAATTTAAAATTTGAAAAATCTCGACTTTTTCAAATAGAACACCCTGTGTTTTATGATTTCATTAGATGCCTTTCTGTAGACCGTACAATTTTTTAATAGCTTTCCGTATGCCTAAGTTGCGTAGTTTTTGCAAAAAAAAAACATTTTTATGTAAAATACCGGATTTGCGTCCGTTCCTTTGTCGGGAAAAATATTGTACGAGTATTTATTTTAAGTTAGCTTGCGACTATGAGTATCCTTTTTTCAAAATTCTCTTCATAAAAATTTTTTAATCTCCAATTTCACTAATAACTTTCCAAACTACGGTAACAGTGCTTGATTTTCAATATGATACGGATGAAACTTCTTCAATATTTTATTTGTCAAGTTTGTTTTCAGTTATTAATTTTTATTTTAAATAGTGTAGCTAGACAACTAATAAATTTAATAAAAATAAATACCTTTACAATATTTTTCCCGACAAAGAAACGGACGCAAATCCGGAATTTTACATAAAAATGTTTTTTTTTTTTTGTAAAAACTACGCAACTTAGGTATAGGGAAATCTATTAAAAAATTGCAGGGTCTACAGAAAGGCATCTAATGAAATCATAAAACATAGGATGTTCTATTTGAAAAAGTCGAGATTTTTCAAATTTTAAATTATCAGGTTTGGCACGATTTTTTTTTGCCCCCTGTATATTGCAGATCAACTTTTGATACGTTTTTTGAAATAGCCATCTTCACTCTACAGTTCCTGAAAAAAAAATAATTTCTGGCTGTCATACAATCATAATTATGTCAACTACTAGAAGTGACGAAACATAAGAAAAAATTAAAAGTCGATTATCTCGAAAACTATCAATATTTTAATACGGATCATAACAAAAAGTCTCCTTAATTTTCCACGTAGAATTCGATAATGCCATAAAAAATATATAGATTTCCATTTAAAAAAATTAAGTTGGTACATGTCCAGGAAAAACTAAATACCCTGTATGTGCAAATATATTTTCATTTTATGCAGCTCGGGAAAGTAGGCACCTCTGTAGAAAAAAAAATTAAATTATATCTTTGGATTTACGCGCACTAGGTGGACACGGTGTGTATCTATAATAATTTAATGCTTTTATAAATATTTAGGTATCTATGGACAACATTCTTAATCTAAATTAAAATATTATTACATATGTTTAAAGGATTCAACGTAATTACATTTGTTGAATTTCTAAGTGAATAATTTTACAATATGAAATATCTACTCAATCCTACATACTAAACCTGGATATAAAAAATAAAAATAAAAGTCCTATGTCGAGAAATGGTAATAGTCACTTATTATTAAGTAGCAGTGACCATTCGTAGCTATAACATTATTAGGTACGAGGTCTGTTCAGAAAATTATGTACGCGCTAATGGAGATATTTAGTGATGTGCGGTTGGCAGCATTGCGTTGCGCATAATCTTCTCTGTAACCACTTATTCTTGGATTGTTGATACACACACAATATATAGCTATTTTGTCTGTGGTTTATATCTCATTTAGTCTTCATGATATTGTTATTTGAGTGCAATGTGTTTGAGAGTTAATGACGATTTTTGAAATGTGCGATTTTCTGGAACAACCAACTGTGCAACGTAAAATTTTCCATGAAATTGGGGAAAACTTTCACGGAAACGTATCAGCCTTCGAAACAAGCTTACGGAGATGAACCTCTGGGTCGTGTGCAATGTTATGAATGGTGTTTACGATTTAAAAGTAGCCGTCAGTCAATCGAAGATGATCCTCGACCAGGAAGGTCTTCGACTTCAATTGATAACTCCCACGTTCAGAAAGTCAATGATCTGGTGCGTGCAAATCTCTGAATGACTGCCAGAGAAATTACAGAGGAGGTTAGCATCTTAATTGGATAACAAAAGAAGAAAATTGTGTCGGCAACTCCTTGAACAATCCAATGACGACGAGTGACCATAACGGCAGACGAAAGCTGGGTTTACGGCTAGGACATTGAGAGAAAAGTTGTCAATCATCACAATGGATTGGCAGAGGATCTCAACACCCTAAGAAAGCACGTCATTGTCGAACCAATGTCAAAGTGATGATCACTGTTTCTTTCGACTTGAATGGAATTGTGCATTCTGAATTCTTGCCTCAAGATGAAACCGTGAACCGTGTGTAGTACAAATTTATCATTTATAATTTCAAGGTATGTACCAGGCTCGGTCGCTAAGCAGCAACTCGGCATTGAAATATTTGAAAAACTTGTTCCCATATTTATTTAGCCATACCCATATATAGGTCTGGTCGAACTAAACGTGCAGGTGGTAGAAATGTATACGACCAGTTGAAGAATGCGAGCACGGGCAAACGAAATGTAACACAACTGTATTGGGCTTCTGGCTATAAATCACAGCAGGCTACAAGTGGATCATAAATTGCCCAGCAGTGCAGTGCTGCAGTGCGGAATTTGGTGTGAATCAGGCAATTTTAATTTATTATAGGCACCTTCTATCAATCATTCATATTACAATTGTGAATGGGAGAAATAAGAGAGATATTTTATTTACTAATATTATCATAACATGGCATTTTGGAGACCTTCTGAAATGGAACAAAACAAAATTTACCACCAATATAATAAAATTGTTCGAGGACATAAATAATTAAAATATGTTGTTGGCCAAATGAACATATAATAGAAATTTTCCACACATTATACAGGGTGGGCCAATGGAAACTTTCCAATCCGATTTTTTTGGTTTAAAATAAAAATCTGGGAAAACGCTCGGACACGTCGACTCTTGATTTGAGGGGGAACTATTTTTCAGTTTTTTTCATCCCCGTACCTTTAATTCCCTAGCTGGGGAGAGAACAACCCCCCAAATTTGAATAGGGAATAGGGGTCGTGCCATACCTCTTTTTAAAGGTCTCATCGAATTCTTTATGACCCTACAATTTCGCCTCATTATTTTTGTCCGTAACGACAGTTTGTCAAAATAAAAATAAATAAAAATACTTACTAATTTATTAATTAGGTCTACACCTGAACTTTATCTAACAAACTGTTTAAAATGTCCGCCATTAACATCCATGCAATAATAAAATCGATTCCCTATCTCTT